ACTTTGAAGGCACCCAGATCTAAGATCCAAGGCTCCTTTATGAAACTGTAGAAATCATCACAGAAAACCACCGATATAAAATTAAGGCAAAAATTAAAATATTCCTATAAATCATAGGAACAAAATGGACTGCTAAATTGCTATGCTTATTAAACACTTAAATAAAACCCTGGGATAACAAAGTATTCATTACATGAGTTACTATATTCTGGATTGAAATCTAGAAGCTAGAGCTAATGCAGTAAGCATAATTACTGAACACCTATTACATCCCAGGCACTTGGTATTAATTACCTTTAAGTCTAATAACAAGCCCGTAAGACTTCCCCCTTTTTCAGTTCTGAAAAGTGGGGCTGGAAAGTTTTAACAATTCAGAATCACAAAAGTGGTATGTAAAGAACTAATTTAAACAAATTTTTAAATTTTTATTTATTTTTGAGAGACAGAGCGAGAGACAGGCAGAATGCGAGCGGGGGGGAGAGGCAGAGAAAGAGGGAGACACAGATTCCGAAGCAGGCTCCAGGCTCTGAGCTGTCATCACAGAGCCCGACGCGGGGCTCGAACCCCCCAACCGTGAGATCATGACCTGAGCTGAAGTCGGACGCTCAACCGACTGAGCCACCCAGGCGCCCCGAGAACTAATTTTTTTAAAAGTCTCCTTTGGCAATTTCAATAAAAATGCCCTGGCTTTTCTACCTTTAACTTCTATCTAATCATTTTCTATCACTTCTATAGCTAGCATTTAAATGAAACTAAAATATACTCATCTTATATATGGAATCATTCTGCCTCAGAGATCAGAAAGAAAATAAAATAGTACTCTATTCTTAACTCATGCTTGTATTTACTTATTTTGTGTATGAGTTTATTATATAATAGGTTTGCTTAACTTATCATGAGTGGGAAATTAATCTGAAAAGTAAAACCATGTTATATTTTATGAGACATGACATGGATGAAATCTATCTACATTTCTGTTAAAATAAGATTATGAATCTGAAGTAGATATGTATTTTTAAATGACTTTTTTTACTTTATGTAGATCTTATAAATGGCAGAATATGAAAGTTTACTATGAATTTTCATGAGTTCTGGCACTTTCAAAGTTATGGACGTGGTACAACATTTTATTGTGACTGACAGTATAATTCTGCTATAATAAAAATTTCCTGTCAACCTGTTCTGTCCTGAAATGCCTGAAGCACTTTCGTTTAAGTGTCAGATTAAAATATATGACGGAGAGAACAGAATCTGCACTGTCCCGTCTTTACAGCAAGCGATACAGGGGGGTGCCAAAAGGGTGTGGGGGTAGACGTTTGTTTTCATAATTATGTAAGAATAGGTTGTTCAAATGCCTTCATTATGCCATCTATTTTTGAATCAGTTTTCCTGTGGATAATTTGCACCATGTGGGAGAAGTAAAGTTTAGAGTCTTACGTAAATTTTCCATCATCCAAGTACCTTTCATTGCCATTGGGAGCCGGTTTGGGTCATATGAGTTGATGTGAGGCTGACCCAACTGTGACATCATTTATCTAAAGGACACCCATCTCAGAAATTCATTTCTGCGGGCTCCAGGTTTTAGAAATCTCATGCCCTTTGCGCCTCCCTAAAAGTGCGTTCCCCTCTAACGCCAAATACTCCACTTGCGCCTTTCTTGTTTCCTCCGTCAGAACTGGCAGTTGGTTCGGTCTGAAGGCCACACCGTCCTAGTCTTACTGTCTTCGTCTCCTGTGGAGACTCTCTTTCCCACCCCCTCCTTCTCTAGGTTCGTTCTTACACTGAAAACGAAACAAAATCCTGCCCCAACATTCCTCCATCCTACTTTTCCACTTCCTCTGTCAACTTTCTACAACACTGACCCAGCTGCAGTTCTTCATTGCTTTCTTGCTTCCCTTTTTCTTTTTTCAGGTGGGCTCTGTGCCCACTGCTGGGCTTGGAGTCACAACCCTGAGACCAAGAGTCACGTGCTCTACTCACTGAGCCAGCCAGACACCCCATTGCTTCTTTCCCTGGCATCCCTGTAACCGGGCTTCGATCTTTAATGCCACGTGGCATTCCTGAAGACAGTGACGTCCTGGCTGTCGTGTCCTCTAATCTCTCTCCTTAAAGCCTGCTCTTCTTCGAGTTTGACGGCATGAGTACATCCTTGGTTTTTCTAGCATTTTACTTTTTTCTAACAGTTGTGCTTTTCACACTACTCTTTCCCTGAACTATCACTTTCTTCTGCTTCCTGATCTGTAAGTATGCACATTTCATGCTGAGTGATTTTTGACACTGGCCACACATCCGAAATACCTTCACCCTTCAAAAATATATGATGGTGTGGGCTCTACCACAGCCCCGTTCATTCAGATTCTCCAAGCGTAGAGCCCAAGACTTGCCCTGGTGACTGTCATATCTGGCTAGAGTTACAGGTGACCCTCCAGAACCTTCATTCGTTAGGCTCTCCCCTGGAGATTTCATGATGTTTAGACCTTACAAACGATCACTCTGCTAAAGTAACTGTTCGCTAGTTCTGGATTTTTACAAGGAAAAAAAACTCATTCGGGAAAGATTAAACAGTAGGTTATTTTACTGAAAGACTTCTCAAGGCCGTATGTACACTTCATACTTCTATGCCACTTCAGGCCCTCTTTATTCCATTAGAAAGGGTTGTTTGCACCCAAATTGATCTACCTCCTATAATCCACTTTCTTTTTTTTCCAGCTTATTTATTTCGAGAGAAAGTGGGAATCAGGGAAGGACAGAAGGAGAGGGAGAGGGAGAGACTCCCAAGCAGGCTCCGTGTTGTCAGCGCAGAGTCCGAAACAGACCTAGAGCCCACGAACCGTGAGACCGTGACCTGAGCTGAAGTTGGACACTACACTTGACCTTAGCCAAAAGGCTGAGAAGTGACTGAAGTTGGATGCTTAACCAACTGAGCCACCCAGGTGTCCCTATGATCCACTTTAAACACCACTGCTAGATTAACAGTCTAAGGCACAACTGTACTCTTATAGTCCTCTTCTCAAAAATCTTCAATTATCTTTGGATCAGGGTCAAGTTTAAATTCTCTAGCTTGGCACTCAAGGCCTTAGAAGGTCTGACTTGAACCTTTTCAACTTGCTTTTATCTCTCATTATCCGATAAAAAGAGTACAGACTTCGAAGTCAGGTATACATGGGTGTGACTTATGCTTTACCTGGGAGGAGCAATTCAAATCCTGCAAGTCTCACTGGCTTATAACTGAAAGAAAGATAATGCTGGTCCTACCTGAGAAGGTTATCTTGAGGCTTACAAATTGGTCCTTCTCATACCCTGTGTGTAAGTCCTCACCCTCACCCGCTAAAAACAGTGCTTCTCCAATGTCAGTACACATTCTTGGTAGCTGGCATACTCGTTACACAAGGAGATGTGTGAGTTGCACCTGGGTCTGGACTTGGGCAGTCCGCGTGGAGAGCTGGCAGGTCTCTAGAGTTACATAGCCCAGCATGGTGGCCACCAGCTCCAGGTGGCCCTTGAGGACTTGAAGTAAGGCTCGTCTGAACGGCGACGTGCTGTGAGTGTAAGATAGCCGACTTTACGACTTAGTATCAAAAGAGTAAGGCGAAATACCTAATTAATAACGTTATCAATGACATGTTGAAAGGATATTTGGGGTCTATAAGCCTAGATAAAATATACCATCCATGTTAATTTTACCTGTTTAACTGTTTGATGTAGGCACCAGAAAATTTTAAATGATGCACATGCCTCACAGTGCATTTCCAATGAACAGCACTGGTCTAGTATGTGCATTTCTGATAAGTTCTGCGACGATTCTGTGGTATCCTCAGATCACTTTTTAAGAAACCATGTGTGAAATGCTAAGCTCTCTGAAAGAATCAATGCCTTTACACATCTTTATAAGCCTCATAGTGCTCTGAACATTGGGGGTTATTTACTTTACACTAATTGAATTTAGATGCACTTAAAATTTTGAGTTCTTAAAATTCATAGAAAGAATTTCATTAGAAGTTTCGCTTTGGCTTTTTTATCCCCAGCTTGTAAGGAGTTATTTTTGAATTTACATTTCTTAAGTGAAACAAAAAAATTTGAAACTCTAACTTTGATTTGTTCCCAAATCAATATAAACAGTTTTCTAAAGGAATTGGTGTTTTCCCCTAGGATTATTTGACTTTACCTAGAAATAGACCGTTTACCTGACTAGATTCCAAAATTGTTGAATATTATCACAGTCAAGTTCTTCGTTTAAAACTAGTGGTCAACACTCAACCAGGAATATGCATGGATTTCTACGCCACAGTAATTTAGCCGGATGAGGAACAAAAAGACATGTATCTGGGGAAAGAGGGTCTGTATCTAAGGATGAACGGGAGGAGAACTGGCAGAGCCCCCTGGCAGCTGGGTGGAAGAAAAGTGAAAGAGATGCGATTCCAAATATGTAAGCTAGGGGCACCTGGGTGGCTCAGCGGCTTGAGCGGCCAACCTTAGCCTAGGTCGTGATCTCCTGGTTCACAAGTTCGAGCCCCACATCAGTCTCTGTGCTGACAGCTCAGAGCCTGGAGCCTGCTTTGGATTCTGTGTCCCCCACTCTCTGCCCCTCCCCTGCTCTCTCTGTCTCTCTCTCAAAAATAAATAAAAACATTAAACATTTTTCAAAAAATACATAAGCTGGGGCGCCTGGGTGGCGCAGTCGGTTAAGCGTCCGACTTCAGCCAGGTCACGATCTCGCGGTCCGTGAGTTCGAGCCCCGCGTCAGGCTCTGGGCGGATGGCTCAGAGCCTGGAGCCTGTTTCCGATTCTGTGTCTCCCTCTCTCTCTGCCCCTCCCCTGTTCATGCTCTGTCTCTCTCTGTCCCAAAAATAAATAAATGTTGAAAAAAAAAATACATAAGCTAATGTGGGGATGCAGAATAACCTTGACTTCAGTGACTATTAGAAGAGAAATTGGTCACGACACTAGGAACACCTCTCAAAGATGGTTTAGTAATACCCAGTGAAGACTTTGGCACTTACCTCATGGCCACATTGCTGCCATCGATGACTACGGGTCTCAGGTTCTCCCCGTCATCCGCCACGAGCTCTTGCATCGGAGAGTCCGACCGCTGAGACTCCAGGGAAGGCGCTTCCCGCGTTAGACTGTTGACCGTACTAACCGTCTGTTCGGCCTCACTTTTGTTTCCAAGCTTGACGAGCTCTCCCAAGATGTCATTGATTAAAGCATCGGTACCGAGTTTATTGAGCACAAGCTGAACCTGTTCTTCAGAATAGCCTAACTTCAGTGCAAACTCTAGTTTTGTTTGGTATTCTCGCACCACATCGGGGGGTTTCTTCACTTCCTTGGAGGTAGTCTGGGACTCCTCAGGTTTAAAGTCTTGCAAAATGTCACTGCGTTTGAGTATGTGAGGCTCTAAGCAGGGAGACCTACACAGTTGTCTGTGAGTCTTGGTTAATAAGCACGGCTCTGCTGAAATGCTTCTCGACTGGTCTGACTCGTTATCGGAATTTGTGCTTTCTTCAGAGTCACCAGAGCTCACATTCTCTTCAGACACCTCTTTCTCTTCCTTCCCGGAATTAACTTTATCCATTGTTGGCTTTTCCACCATTGACCAAGGTACAGATGTACTTAAATGTGGGTCAGTGCTCTCCACATGAAGGTGGCCTAGGTCATGCCCCAGATGATCCTTCAAGCCCATGAAGCTGTTATGTGTACTTGACTCCACTTTGCTATTTTTTCTGTATTCCTGAATGCAAAGCACCCCGTATTCCTAGAGAAAAAATGTAAAATATTTAGAATCTCTTATGTACAGTTTCATTCCTGTTTCAGTGAAGAAGTTGAAAGATTATTTATTACCAAACTATACCGAATACATACTTTGCAGTTACCTACGTCTTCTCATCCTGCGGAACACCTTTGCCCAAGATGGCATCATGCCCCATTTTTCAGATGAAGAAGTTAGGAATTAGAATGCCATGCGATCCCTCTGAGGTGACAAAGAAAATAACCAGTGGAACTGGATTTTTTTTTACCCAGTTTTGCCCGACTCCCAAACCCATGCTTCGCCCACTCTGTCATGATGCTTCTCGACCATGACGGAAGAGACCTTTCCACTGTCAGAAAGGCCAATGTTTCCAGAGCGACACCTAGAACATTACCCAAAAGCATGTTTTAGATATACCAGGATAGGTTGTGTACAAGTTCTCTAAAAGAGTTCATAAACATTTGTAAAGATTAAAGAGAAAGCCATACGGAGAGAAAGGAAGACATTAACTTTACTGTAATTGAAAAATTGACGTTAATTTGGATCAAGCTTAACAACAACCTAAAGACATTTCAAAAAAAATTTAGGGGGTGTGCTGTAAAAGCACAATTGTACAACGGCCAACAAAGAATGAAATAATTACAGAGTGAATCCTACTCCGTTTAGGAGATGAACAGTTTTGTCCTAACAATCTTTATTTTGTGACTGCTGAACATAGTAACGAATACAAATCTTAATGATACGCCACCCTTACTGTCAAGGACACTACCATCTACTTCACTCCAGGGGAAAAGAGCTCTTTTTTATTCTGTGCACATTGCTAGAAAGCGCAGAAATGAAATCGTTCTCATAAAATTAGCAGCATACAGTTAAGTACACTGACCGTTATCTTAATTTCCTGCATTTTACAGAAGAAAATATCTCTCTGTATTATATCAGATAATTAGTTCACCATTATCTACGTTTCGCTAAAAAGTCATCCTTTCTGCTACTCCCTCCCCTGCCACCCCCAGGAATGCTTTGCTGTTTAAAATGCTTTTGCTGTGTTACTAGTTTTCCTTAAAGTCATTGGGAATCATTGTTATTTCTCTACCAGGAACAGGTTAGCAAAATAAAATTATCTGTTCTTGTGCTTCAGTGCAAGGGCTGTAAATTTACTTATTAAGGCAATTCCAGTGTTCCATCTGGGGAGATTAGTAAGGCAGGGGTAGCTGAATTTGAGACTGTCATAAAACACCTATTTAAGTAATCTAAAAAAGAAAATTGTAAAAAACATTTTATTCTAAAGCTCTTCAACATCTTATTTACACTAGAAAGGAGCTATTATATAAATGTTAAGAGAAAAATGCTAAGTGTTCTTCTAAGAAGTCAAACATCTGAATGCATACTTGGTGAACTTATTAGAGAGTGAAGTATTTCCACACAATGAAATAAATTCTATTAAGTATGGTAAATACTAGAGAACAGAACATGGAATCTTTAGCTTTATAACCACACACTTAACATTTCTTCTGTGTGGAACTCCTACACACTTCTACAGGAGTTTCTTCGGGTTTTATCCCTCGAGAAGACAGATAACGCTGTTCTATTAATAGAGCGTTCATTAGTCTTAAAGGAACATCAAGTTCTCCTGGCCTGGGACGGCACAACTGATAAAAAGAGACACTCTTTAGGAGAGCTCTGAGCCGTATCTATTTCATTTTTTTTCCTATTAATATGGATATGCACGAGCCCAATTATTTAGAATTAAAGGAAGGGATTCTGAAAGCACATCTTTACACCCAGTGATTTATTAACTACTGTAATATACTGACACCATAATGCAAGTAACAAATCACAACAGAATCCTAATGAAGGGATACAGTTAAAAGAAAAATCTGCACCGTGGCCTTCGCAGAGCTCCCACCAAAAGTATCTTGAACAAGGAAAACCCTATTGGAAGCTGGGCTGCCTGGCAACCAGAAGCTGGTTGCTAAGCTGCACTCTTTTAACATGCCATCATGAATGCTAGCACAGTCAAAGAATAATTTGGTATGAACAAAAGCCTATAAAAGAGACTGGGACTTAAGTGCGTCTGGTTTACCCTCCGAGAACAATGCAGCTGCCAGGCCAATCTGGAAGCTCCCACATCATTGTTCCGTAAACCCCGCAATCTGTTCTGACTGCAGGAAGTGTATTTAATGGGCCACGCTGCTGATCTCCCCCGAAAAGTTTGGGTTCTGCACAAGCGCTGTTGTGGGATAATTCTTCATGGTAATGACTCACTGACCCAATCCCCGACTTGAAGTAGGGGATATTATTTTAATATTGAGCAGTAGTGTCCTCCTTTGGGACAGTTTCAGAAAAGATGAATACTTTATCAAAAACACAGCCACTGGGGAACAGGGAAATGAAATGTTATGTTTAAAGAGTAAGTGAAATTATTCTGAATTTTCCCATTTTCCAAAGAAATGAAACCCAATACTGTAAAGATTTTTAAACCATAAATGATCCACCCTAAACAAATATTTAAATCTTTCTATATCACTTCAGTCTAATCTAAAAAAGTGTTCATGACACAATGTAAAACTGCTCTATTAAATTTTATTCTACAGCTATAATGATAAAATAGGGAGAAAAAATGAGATTGCCAATAGTTTACTTTTTATAATATTAAACCACAGAAAACGCAACTGTATACAAAGGCAGTGAATATCACACACCTTTAACTTATAATCACTCATGTAATTTATACATCCTATTTAAATAAAAAGTTTACGATAACTGGGCTAACATGATTTTTAACACTAAGGATGAAAGTAAGCTTGATCTACCCTACTTAAAAAAAAAAAAACTAACATTTTATTTTGTTAGGCAAAACAGTTTTTTCTTTTCAAATATTCTCACTGAACCTTTTTTTCCACAGTGACAGGCCTCTCTCTTCATGTTCCATATTTCAACTGGTTACTTCAGAATTTTCCAACGTCATCTTCCCTAAACAAGCAGTTAAATAATTTTTAGTTCCTGTCAATCAACAGACTAAATATGAAACAGAAGAATAAGGGCAAAGGAGTTGTTACCAGGCCTCTAAGCCACACAGATTTTCTTCACTACAGAATCCAAATCTGAAGCAGCCTTCTTTGTACTGATCAAATGGCAAACATTTGGTTTTTAAAACTTTCATCTCTGAAATGCTTCCTTACCCATTCGTAATTAGTAAAAGACTGCCCTGACTTAATATGGCAGTTAAAATTTTTTTCACAGATGATCTTGAAATCATTCAATAAAATATTAAAGACTAGTCTTAAGATTTAAAAGCTGAAAAAATATTTTCATAGGCTGCAGTACTTGTTCATGTCATGTACAAAACTTAAAGGAATTATTACAAGAAATCTTAGGACAAAGAACAGTAAAGGGTCTTTACTCTTGTTCAGGGCCTTCAAAAATAGCAATGTAATGTTGAAAAAGACAGCAAAGACTTCAATACCATCACATTTCTTATTACATGTAAGACAGAAAATACTTTTCTCCTTAATTCTAAATTGCTTACTAGACTTTTAAGGTTTGCATGTACTCAAATGCAAACATAGGTAAACCACCTTTAATCAACTATTAACCAATAAGGCTAATTTCCCCCAGTTCATGAAGAAGCAACGTAGACAAAATTTCACACATAAAATAGGTCAGCGTTTATACTCCCACCATTATCAAAAAACTACAAAAAATATGGCTTAACTTTTAAGCTTTATATCAGGAATCTGTTGTAATTGGCCTTTACACACTATATTCATGAATACAAAAAGCACTGGGCAAAAATATCATGGTCTGAACACAGATTTCTACACTTACAAAGCTATAGCTTCCGTCCAGATACTATCCTGGACACAGAAATAATTTTCTTTGCCAAAGGCCTAATAGATTAAAAATCAAATAATATTATTTGTTGAAAAATAACCATATTTTCATGCTAATTTTGTAGATGATGAAGTGTAACTATTTTAATTGTCAAAAAGAAACTTTCTATTAGCTGAAAGTAGGTTTATAATAGAACGGTTATTTACTAGAAATGTGTTGTATGCACACGAATTCCCCCGTTTGGTGAGATCTTTGAAAGTTCTCATTAGATGACTTGGATAATCCTTCACCTCAAATCCAGTAAAAAAGTTTTTGTTTTTGTTTTTGTTTCTATTCTAAAGAGCCTCACAGATCCGGAATATTAGACCACAAAGTTGTTAAATCAATTTATTTGTTTGTAATGTAAAGTTACAATGCCATAAAGTGGGTTCTGGTTGTTATCCAAATGGTAATACTATGAGAACAATGAAAATAAAATAATGAATATGTAATAAATACCTACTGCTGTAGTCTCTGTGTATTTAATTACCATTGTATTTCAGTGAGTGCTGTTGTCCGCATCCCTCTAGCTAACAAAGGAAGGATGTCCCTTTGAACAGATTGGTTAATGCTCTGGGGCAGCAGATGTCTACTAGAACTGCAGGAGACCAGCAACTGGTGGCCTGCCCATCTTCTGAAAACTTTCAATAGACTCCTGCATATGTTCACACAATAGGGCATGTGGTAGAAAGGAAAACCTCTTTTTAACCCTTTATGCTCTCTCTTTCCCTCCCAACTGATAGATGAAAGTCTTTGTCTCCTCCTCTTTTCCCCATTACACAACTCGTGAAAGCAATAGTTATGGGAACGACATCTTCAGCCTAATGTTTGAAACCACTGCAGGGAAAAAGAGATGGGAGAAATGAGAACTCTCTGTTACTATCAAAAACCGCTGACAGAGCAGGTGAACACTTAGTCACTGTATTTACAGCAAGCTGTCTGAAACATCTACCTGTGCATCGGTCCATCTCCCCAAGCTAGATTTTTAGGACAGCAGGAAAACCGATCATATCTTACTATCAGCTTAGAGCACCTAAGTCTGACAGTGACACTTTAAGGAACCTAAGAATGTGACAAGATAAAATCCTAATTCATGGTTTGTCAAAATATCAGAACATGTGATCATCACTTATCTTTAAGTACCAAATGATCACGTGCCGTGCGCAGCGCCCTGCAAACGTTCATGAGGCTGTAATGACTGATCGGACTCCAGAGGATAAACCTGTAAAAGATCTGCTGCACGTATTTTACGGAGAGAATGATCTTGTATTTTGGCACTCCATAATAATTTGCAGGCTGTCGTTTGAGGCGTATCCTCTCTTCTACAAAGTTCAAGTCAATACTCTCGGTATTTAGCCGAGTTGAACTTGGGAGGCAGGCATTAAGTAGCGCAGATACTCACGGCGGCAGGAAAATACAAAGACGTTTCTGCAGCAGCTTCAGCGGGAACTCCTTAACACAGTGGTAGCCGCAGACGTGCAGGCAGCCAGGAAGAACAATGAATGGTTGGACAGATGCAATGGCAATGTCTTGGCTGAACCGATTACCGAGTGGAGGGACAGCCAATCACGGCGCGGGAGCTCACAATTAGTTGGGCAGATGCGGGCCAAGCTCGGCTCCCTGCGTCAGGTTCGCAGGTTCCTACGATCAGCGAGTTGATGTCATTCCCGGGGCCTGCCCCGGGCAGCGTGTGTATTAACGAGGGGTGTGCGGGCAACAATAGGCCAGACAAAGGCCACTCGCCGGCAGCTGCTCTTTGGGAGCCGAGTCATTAGGCAGCAGGCTGCCAACAAGAAACACCTGGCTTGGGCGGCCTTCGGCTTTTCCTCCTTGCTTTTCATGCACCAAACAAAGAAACCAATTCTATTTTCAAGTAGTCGGACTTGCATGTTTCCAAAAAGCTGAGGCTCCACTCCAGTCTATTAGCTTTGGGGTTTTGAGAAATAAAGAAAATGAAGTGTGTCAAAGCAGCGGTTCCCTACTGCAGTAATCCCTTTCTTTAATAAATGAGTGACTAGTGAAATGAGACAGAAGGCTACAGTCAAACGATTTCCCTGGAAACACTGGGAAATCCAAAATATTTTTAGGTATTGGTTCGTTTGTTGCAAGGCAATAAAAAGACAAGAAAGGGAGGGGGAGCGATAAGAGCTTACAAACAGAATTTTAAAAAGTGAGTTCACTAGTCCTGTAGTGTGGGAAGACGAAACGAGTGTGGTCCAACTGTGTGCCAAATGTGTCATCCAAACTATGCATTCAGACAAAACTGCTGACGTTCAGCCTAAAATCGCCAGCACGGCTCACCTTACACATGTGCAGCGCCACGTAAAACTCTTTTCTTACGGATTCCACTCGCCCATCTCATGAAATAAAAGCTTTCATTATGTTCTAATATACGACATTATTATACCTGTTAAAGGGATTTGTATTTCAGCTCAAATTCCAGCTCAGGAACAAGTTAACTTTATGAAGAAGAAATATGGGGGTAAGAATGACCAAAATGGACCTCCTCGGGGAGGAAGCTTGTTACCCCAGATTTATTTCCAACTTCCAGAATGCAGTACTTACAAGGCTACCACTACGTGCTTTTGAGGGCTGCAGTTTCATCCTGAGTGGCCTCAATTAAAGAAGTTCAACCAAAATTTACAACCCCTCAGGTGTTGTGAAAACACCCCCCCCCCCCGCTAAAGGAAACCTACCTCCAACGCACCACCTACTTTTGTGAGCTCGCGCCCCCACCCGCCCACACGAGCACGCACCCACTTTTCACTCTCCTCCAGGAGGTAAAGCAGGAGCTGCTACTAAAATTCGACTTTCTGATACAGGCTGAATTATGCACAGCCTAGGATTTATCATTGTATCATTATGAGAGCCAAGATGTAAAATTTGGCTAAAGCACCCCTAACGATAGAAACCAATCACAAATACTGGAGCTACTCTCCGTTAGGGTCATTTGTGAACACTTGGGGGAAAAGTGCCAGTTGGGACTCCTGGCCACGCCCTTACTGTGTCCACTCAAGTGTCAACGAGATTTTCTCTATTTACAACCCAAGAGGAAGGCCTCCTCCATACAGTTACAAATTTTCAGTTATCTCACTGAAGAAAACATTCCTTATGCCTACCAGAAGCCTGAAAAAGTCCTGTTATCAGAAATAAAATAAAAACACAGAGTATACTTTAGATCACTGTCTATATCTTTTCTCCAAAGAGTTTACTATTTTATTAAGGTATATCATTCCCAAATGTTAGAAAAGTTCAAAATCTGTGGAAATATTTTCTAACTAAATGTAATTATTAGGTCTAAAGCAGAAACCATTCTTTTTCTGCCAAGGGTTATTTACGGTAATGTTTCTGCAGTTAGGTGAGCCTATGGTCTAATGTTGTAAGCGCATTAAAGATAAAGCATCTCTAACATAGTTTACTGCAAGTTATAAGGTAAATTACACAGAGTGTAGACTTTATGTCTTGGGTAAGCATATGAATGTCACAGAAGCGAAGAAAGTTAAAAAATGTTTTAAAAGTGACGTGGTGGTATTTCTCTTGAAAATTTCATGAGCAAAAGGAGTAAGAAACATAAATCAAGGCCACTAGGATGGTTAGCAAATGTACTTCTTTTGGTAAAATGGAGTTTGATTTAGCAAGATAAAAAATAAAAAATATAACACACACGAAAGCAAAGTAGTTACAACTAAACCCTAATAAAACCTAAGCTATGCACTCAGAGAGACAGGTCAATATTTATGAATTCATATCAAAACTTTTTTGTGTGTATAAAAAGGAAACTCTTTAGTATGAATAGAAAGTCCTCTCTTTTCCCCTGGGTTTCCTTTCTTCTCTTTATCCCCTGCTACTATAGTTACTACTTTATAGCTTTAATTCAGGAGGAGGAGGAGGAATCTTCTCACTAATTCCTGCCACTGTGAACACAAAGAATGAGAGAAAACTACCCAAGGGCTCAGCAGGGAGCCTGATCTCTAGCACTGGATTAAGCTTTTTTGCAAACAGCAAATAAAGGCAGTGATCTGAAAAAGCTAATCAGATCCTGCTGGGGTATTTAGACTATCTTGGTTGCTAGTATTGGATAATGTTAAGCACATTAAAACATCTGTAGGTGAAAAGCCCGTCTGGCTTTCTTAGTCATAGGCACTGCCTGGTCCACTTGCCGGCCCCCCCCCCCCCCCCCCCCCGCCACGCCCCACCCCAAAGCCAATACAAACAGCTGCACTGGGCTCTCTCCGGGGCGTCGCAAACCAGGGCTGAGCAGGCCTGCGGCTAAGACAGGAAAAAACAAGGCAGGTGTCATTTGTAATTTGGGGAGCACGCGGAAATCTGTCAATGCCAAGGGGGTGTCTAATGTTAGGACCTTGTTTGCTCAAGTCTGAATGTGAACACGTGGGCTCTGATGCTGATGTCTGGAAATCAATTCTCCTTATCACTGGTGATACAAGCCCGCTTCCCAGTACCTTCCCCCTAATGTGGATTTGTTTCCCAAAGTACACGATCTTCCTTGATCCTAACACCATGGAAGTGAAATTACCATGTCACATTTTCCCAACTGTCTCCCAAAGGTTCAAAGGTTAAAATTTCAGCCAAAACTCTTCTCTAATTTTTGAGAATTAAACTAAGAAACAAAATAACCAACCCACAGAAACCTAATCTACACACACAGGGTAAGAGAATGAAGCAAAATCAATCAGGTACCAGCATGTGAACGAAAGCGCTCGTGGGCGAGTTTTATTTCTCTTTCATGACAGGGTGAGCTTCTCCCAGAGCCCTCAGCTCTTTGCAGTGTTCCTGTAGCCCTGGTTCTGCCACTGAGGCTGCTGTCAACATCCCAGGCAGCGGTGGCTTGAGGGCACATCAGCCTCTCTGTGATGAGAGGTCTTTTCCTGGTGTCTCCTGCTCTGGCTTCAACTTCCCAACTACAGTGGCCTCCTTGGGTACAACACTCCATCTGGCCTCTGCCTCCTCACTGGAGAAGGACTGCTCTGGTGGGGGAGTCTGGGAAGAAGAATTTTGTAAGCAAAGCCTGGCCCCTTCCTCTGCCCTTTTCCCTTGGGCATCTGCCCACGGACAGAGTACACGGCTGCCTTGCTCCCCAGCACTGCCCCAGACTGGGTGGTTAAAGCTTTCTAGTCTGGACGTTCAAGGTTATCAAGCCCTCCAAGCTGGGCTCTGCCACGGTTCCACCCAAAAAAAAAGGCTATTTTGATGTCCATCTGTCTGGCTCCTTTGTCTATTTCTCACTTGGTTCAGAACTAAGGCAGGAAAAACACCCCCTCAAACAACACTCAACAGAAGCTTTTGCTTTCAAGAGCTATTAAGGGGAACAAAAAATGGTATGAAGACTTAGGTAAATTAACTCCGGTCAGACTACAGTTAAAACACATATAATGGGAAAGTTTTTTTAAAAAAGAAAAAATTCTGCGACACCTGGGTGGCTCAGTTGGTTAAGCATCTGACTCTTGATTTCGGCACAGGTCATGATGTCACGGTTTATGAGACTGAGCCCTGTACTGGGCTCCACACTGACAGTGTGGAGCCTACTTGGGATTCTCTGTCTCTCTGCCTCTCCCTCCCATATGCACAGGCATGCTCGCTTTCAGAATAAACTTAAAAAAAAAAGTTCTACAGAAGAAAAAGTCCTGTAATAAGAGGGAAGATAAGGGGCGCCTGAGCGGCTCAGTCAGTTAACCTTCCAACTTCGGCTCAGGCCGTGATCTTGCAGTTTGTGGGTCCGAGCCCCTTGTCAGGCTCTGTGCTGACAGCTAGGAGCCTGAAGCCTGCTTTGGATTCTGTGTCTCCTGCTCTCTGCCCCTCCCTCCCTCATGCTCGCTCTCTCTCTCTCTCTCTCTCAAAAATGAATGTTAACATTTTTTTTAAAAGAGGGAAGATAATGTCCCTCAATATCAAAATTCTAAGGGTCTGACAATCTTTCAGTGCTACATCACTAAGAGGGTTCAGAGACAAATAGCAAATACACAAAAAACAGTTATTTCTTCCCAGTAGACTAAAAGCAAAATTTTTCTGCAGTCATTTTAAGTGACAACATACTCCACAGTGTAAGGCTTCAATTATTTCCCAGTATTAACTTGCTTATTCAGTATTTTCGAAAATTCATTAAGCAGTAAGTCTTTAAAAAGATGCTCTTCGGGGTGCCTGGGTGCCTTACTCGGTTAGGTGTCCGACTTCGGCTCAGGTCATGATCTCACGGTTTGTGATTTTGAGCCCTGTATAGGGCTCTGTACTGACAGCTGAGAGCCTGAAGCCTGCTTCGGATTCTGTGTCTCCCTCTCTCTCTGCCCCTCCCCCACTCGCACGCTCTCTCGCTCTCTCTCAAAGATGAATAGAAAAAAACTTTAAGATGATCTTCAATTCTTATCAAACTTGTAAATAATCAAGGAACAAGGAATTTTAGAAAATCTCAGTGAGTACAAATGACATCCTGAATGCTCACGTCACAGGTTCCTAAAGCGGCTAATGTAAAAGGGAGTAAAGGGAGAGAAAACTCATAGGCATAAAAGGCCACAAATGATTTTAAAAGAGGCAGAAATCACCTGATATCATCCATATTAAAATACACAATTACATTAAATATAACTGAAACTCTCAAGAAAAGCTGACCCAAAGTGTGTAATTTTATATAGAATACAGGTAAGACATTCTCCGAATTAGGACAACCTGATGACACCTTACCTCTTACAGTAATGACAATATTTGCAACCTCATTATCAAAGCCTAGTCAGAACTGTTCTCTCCTGATGCTGTGGGGGCCCCTATCGTCCACTGTCTCTGCCGTTACCCCCGCTCCACCGTGTACTCGTTCATGTACAACACGGTACCTGCAGCCTGTGCATCCCAGTGGAGGACGGACATGGGTCTGGTTCTTTAGGTGTTAAATAATTCCACGCAGCAAACTAATTCAAACACTGCATGGTCAAGAGCTTTGTTGAAAAGTGAAACTGACAGAGTCAGGCTATAAAGAATAACTATCAGACAGAATTAAAAGAAAGCTCTGTCATGAAGTCTGATCTTACGAATGGCCCAGAAGAGTGTGTAAGAATGACCGGAGTAGAAAGGAACTGGGGAGAGAAAAGCATGGGATGCAGAAAATGACACAAAAGTAACTACAAACCAACTATGACCCAACCAAAGTTCTTTATTAAGAATTCCATCAAGGGGCGCCTGGGTGGCGCAGTCGGTTGGGCATCCGGCTTCAGCCAGGTCACGATCTCGCGGTCCGGGAGTTCGAGCCCCGCGTCAGGCTCTGGGCTGATGGCTCAGAGCCTGGAGCCTGTTTCCGATTCTGTGTCTCCCTCTCTCTCTGCCCCTCCCCCGTTCATGCTCTGTCTCTCTCTGTCCCAAAAATAAATAAAAACGTTGAAAAAAAAATTAAAAAAAAAAAAAAGAATTCCATCGAAATTCTCATTAATAGTCATGATAGAAATAGTTCCTGACATACCAATTCTTCTAAGACGGGAACATGAAATGCTGGAGCTAGTGCCCTATAAGGCCCTCACGCCAGTGATTTCCAAGTACTGCACTACTCACTTTAGCCAACTGTCCTGGTATTCAAGAAACTGAACAAGACGGAGAGGCTAGCCAACCAAACGGTTGTGTTAGACGCTGCCGAGCAACATCGGCATAGGAGTTCATAACATT